CTCTCCCTGCTTCAGGTCACTTTCGCTCATATAAGCTTGAAGGTTTACGGCCAACATCTGCACCCACCCTCTTGAGTTTTCTCAAAAAACCTATACTGAGAAAAATCACAGTTGTTTCTCCAAAGCAGTTAGAATAAAAAGAGAATTCTGCCTACATTTGAGTTTCAAAAGTCCCTAGTAATCTCAAAAATGTCTCCTCTGGAATGTCAGAAAAGATCTTGATAATGGCTCAAACTGTTCTCAGATTTACCAAAGCATGTAATCAATGGTCTCCATATGAACACATATGACTTTTTCTCTCATTTCGATTTGTCATAATTTCATAATTAGATTTACTAAAGCATAATCTTTGCAATTATTGCATGAACATTCAAAAGAATGACAGTCATAATCAAATAAAAAGTCAAAATTGACAAAATATCAAATTATGAGATGCTAAGCCAGAAATTGACATAAGTAAATTTTTGTCATATTTGACATTTTATATCATAATTTCGATTTATGTCATAATGTTGACTTTGTCATAATTAGATTTACTAAATAATTGTTTTTGACCCAATTATGACATCACAGTCAAAAGTATGACACAGTCATAATTTTAAAATAACTTTTTTTATATATAATTGTAACTTGGTATATACTTCATTTGACTTTTTATGTCATCACTTTTTATCTCATAATTCTGTCCTTTTCAAATCTCAATTATGACTTAGTATGTCATAATTTTGACTTTATATATGAATGTAACTCAGTATATAGCCATATGAGTTTATGTAACTAAGTATATTAAAAATTGGAATTTATTTCATTATTATTACTTTTTATCTCCTAATTTTGCCTTTTTATCTTTGTCATAATTTGGACTTTATATAGAACTGCAACTTAATATATAATAAATTTGACTTTTTATTTCGTAATTATTACTTTTTTCTTCTAATTTGCCTTTTATCTCATAATTATGACTTACTATGTTATAATTTTGACATTTCATCTCAAATTTGTAACTGTGTATCTAATAATTTTGACTTTTTATGTCATAATTGTAACTTTTGAATGCACTAAATGCAAAATGCTTTGGATAAAAGCATCTACCAAATGTAAGAAACTCATTTTTGTCTGTTTATTATGGAATTGTAGAAGCATCGGAGACAAAGCTGATATTGTAATTCAGGACTCCATGAAGTCTCCTGAGCTATGAAAGAGTGATCTCTACAGTTTTCCTCTGGGTCTCCCTGCCATCCTAGATTAAACGATGCACTGAAATGCAATGACAAACACTGAGAGAACAAAGAAAAGATTTAAATAGATGCTGTACTGTGGATGCAGTCAGTCTAGTGCATGTGTGAATTGAGACGTGAGCTGTCTGCAGTCATGTCTGTCTGACAGTAGAGTCTAAATCAACAGGTGCGGTGTGAATCGTACCATGTGCCGCAGCCATGAGTGGAGAGGGAACACTATGTATCTCTCATTAGGCGAACTTGCTCTCTGCAGCTCAATGAGTCGGGTTGCCGTGGTGATGAGCGCGTTGTCATGGTTGTTTTTGGTTGAAGTCTATATCCCTGATGATGTGAGAGCACAGGTCATTTTGTTAGACAGCAGAGATGCATGAATCTTCTTTAAATAGAAACAATGATACAACACATGCTGACTACAGTAAAGAAATACAACATTCACACAGATATCAAACACTGGTTGATGTGTACAGTAGTTTACATGCAACCAAATGTCATTGCCATTTATGCATTCTGTTTCCTAGACCATCGAAACCGCTTTACAAGTATTGACCCTTGGATGGATGCATTTAATTAATATGTACAATTTTTCTAGATTTTTACGATATTTAATACAGTTACATAATACATTAACACATTTTTTGCTTTTATACACACACACACACACACACACATACATGTGTATATTTAAGAAATATAGAGAGACGCGCAGAAGCAGCATGCAAGTAAAGCACACAACTGTCATCTCTTTCTCTCTCTTTTATATATAACCTTAATATAAACCTATTCCTCACACAAACCCTTTTTTGTATTTTTATATTTTCATTAAGTTATCTAGCATGTTTGCAGGCGTGACGTTAATCTTAATGCAGTGTTCTTCCCAGGAACTTGGCAGCATTTGGTGGCATATTGGTTGGCCTGGACAGCTAATGAAATATGCCATGCCAAAGACAAACGTGTCTTCTCATTCAAAACCTTTCAGACGTGTTAACATTACAGGCTGGGGAAGCATTAGCCAGGACAAACTCAATGTCAATGATGTCAAGGAGCCGCAGCAGAATAATAGCTTTGCGAAACCAGCCCATCTAAATGCCTCCAGGGCTCTTATCGACTTCTCTGATGATATATGTGCCGGTAATGTGTGAAAAATGACAGCTACTATTGCAGATGTGGCAAGGACGCGGTATGTATCTTGAATAAAAATATGCATCGCATTAACCTTTGATTGAATGTTCTTATTATTGCACAGTTCATCTCTGCCATGCAATAACGGTTGAGTATGTGTGCATGCATGACCAGCCCATACGGTCGATGACTCATCGTGCAGATGAACTACCTGAAACAACAGCGTTGTGGACTTAATCCGCTGCACTGCATAGCTGCTGGGGTTCTGTTAGGCATGCAGAGAGGGGGATTCCGCCACGGAGCGTGCGTGCATGAGCGTTTCTGCGGCTGCGCGGATGTTCCCGAACAGCCGACCGTTAATGAGGATGACTCATCCCTAGAAACCCTACTGGATGGGTGCGGAGGTGATTCACCATGTGTCTGTGTGCTATCCAAGGATGCCCTTCAGTCTAAACCCCAGAAAAGTGTCATGCTGTGCATAGTTGGTGTTTCCACTGAGAGTTCATAACGACAGAGAAGGTTTGAGGTCACAATCTGCTTGGGGTCCTTTTTGCCTTCATGTTTCATTAATTAGTAAGACTCTCTGATTACAGCCTTAGCTTTCATTTACAGCTATTTTGAGGATGACATGTAGTTTTTGCACCACCCACCTTACGCCCTCCAACTGTGTAGACTGTGCAGCTTCAGGCTCAAGAAAAACATCATTTATTCTTCGTTAAAAAGGTTGTACAAATAAATGTGATCTTACATCATTTTTACCCATTCGGTCTAATATTGCGCTGCAGAGAGCAATACTAGTTTTAACTTGTCTATAACTTGGCAAATGACCATGGAATAAGCGGGATATTCAACGGCTTGACGTGCATTAAAGGATTTAAATAGCTTCGCGTCGGGTGGTTCTTGGCCTCCACGTCATGCATTTAAAATCCTTTAATGCATGGCAAGCCGTTGATTATCCCTTACTTCAGTCACGTTCAATATCCACGTAAAACAAAATGTTTTGCATAACATCTCGGCGGTACTGTGATAACACTTAACGGCTTAACAGATTTTACTACATATTTTTTACTACATAGTTT